AGTCTCAAGGGCTCTCCTTCATCGTTTTCCTCCAGCCCTAATCCCCACACAAATTAGAAAAGTTTCTTCCTTCTCTGATGCTCGCCTCCTTTCCTCTCCTTCGGCTGCGACGACACGTCTCATTGTTGCTTGCTGCGCCATCCCCACCTCCGTCAAGATATCCATATAATACAACAGGGAATCAAATACGAAAATGCCCCCCACCCCCACATGTTTTTTTTAGGGAAACAACAGGGCTCCGCTGCATATTTTTATTGATTTTCAAAAGGTAGTACAAAGCAAGTGTCGAAAAGAGAAAAAAACAACTATATAGGCAAAACTGTACCAAGCTAAGCTGAGAAAAGTAAGAAAATAACTACACAGAAAACCAAGAAGCACAACAACACAACAGAAGGATGGCAAGTGATGGTGCTATCATCTGAAGTTGTTTTTTTTTCTTTTTTTCGAAAAGGGAGAGTACCCCGGCCTCTGCATCAAGAGTGATGCATACATTCATTTTATTAATCAAAGCAGCAAAATGTGCATACAAGGTTTCAAAGTCTCGAAATCAAATAAAGGAAATGCAGCCCACACAGAGCGCAGAAGGCTAGAAACACAGACTAACCAGAAATAAAATGCCACAACCGGCTGGCTAAAGAAGGTAGGGAAACTAATTGCCTATCCTATTACATGACGGCCATCCAAACCGGTTGAAGATATCCCGAGCAACCATCTCCCAACGGATAGACCCAGTAACCAAATGCTCCCTGGCCTCCATCGGAGTGAGTAATGACCACGAACGGATCAATGCCGTAGCTCGGAATATAACCTGCAAAAAATGAATTCGTGATGTTCTGTTAAAAACCAAATCATTTCTGCACAACCAGATGGTCCATATCAACGCACAAACTCCCACCCGAATATGCCTTGCTAATGCAGAGTCAATCCCATTAAGCCAATTTCCAAATAAAGCGGTAACCGCAGTCGGTGGAGTAATATTAAAAGCAATATGAACCGTCTGCCAAAGAACCTTAGCCAGCGGGCAATCAAAGAAGAGATGTTTAATTGTCTCATCCCGATCACAGAAACTACACCTAGTAGCTCCTGTCCAATTACGCTTTATCAAGTTGTCCTTTGTTAGAATAACTTGTTTATGAACAAACCACATAAACACTTTTATTTTCAAAGGAACTTTGACATCCCAGACCTTCTTGGATGTTGGAATGGAGCTTGAATTAATAACATCAAGATACATTGACCTCACTGTAAATACTCCAGACTTAGTCAACTTCCAGCGTAATTCATCAGGTTGGTCAGAAAGTTGTACCTCCATTAGTCTCCTAACTAAGTGGAGCCAAACCTCCCAACGATTGCCCACTAACGACCGTCTAAACTGAATATTAAGGGGAACCGTTTGAAATACCGTTGCCACGAACACCTCACGTCGTTGAGCAATGCGATATAAAGACGGATATTGAATGGCCAAGGGTGAGTCGCCCAGCCAAGAATCCTCCCAGAAACGTGTAGTAGCACCATTTCCAAGGACAACTTTTGTCCTATTGAACAGTAATACTTTGACTTTCATGAGTCCTTTCCAGAAAGGCGAGTCAGTCGGCCTAACTGATACCTGGGATAATGTTCTAGTCTGGAGGTACTTGCTGCGTAGGATTTGCGCCCACATAGCTTCAGTGCCGGAAGCGAGCTTCCACAACCACTTACTAAGGAGGCATCTGTTCTTAACTTCTAGATTCTCAATACCAAGCCCACCTTGGTCTTTGGGTCTACAGATAATATCCCACTTAGCAAGCCGGTATTTTCTTTTGAGCTCATCACCCTGCCAAAAGAAACGTGATCGATAGAAGTCCAGTCTTTTCCTAACCCCCACTGGAACCTCAAAGAAAGCTAAGAGGAACATAGGCATACTCGTGAGCACCGAGTTTATCAAGATTAACCGGCCTCCGTATGACAGGAGCTTACCCTTCCAGCAACTCGGTTTCTTTTCAAATCGATCCTCGATACACCTCCACTCTCTGTTAGTTAGCCTACGATGATGTATCGGAATGCCAAGGTATGAGAAGGGCAAACTTCCCAACTCGCACCCAAACAATTGCCTATAAGACTCTTGTTCGTCTTTGGCTCTCCCAAAGCAGAACAACTCGCTCTTTTGAAAGTTTATCTTTAACCCCGATAATTGTTCAAAGAGGCATAATAACAGCTTCATATTTCTCGCCTTGGACCAAATCATGCTCCATAAAGACTATTGTATCATCAGCGTATTGAAGGATAGATACACCTCCATCAACCAGATGAGGTACTAAGCCACCCACTTGTCCATTGTCCTTCGCCCTTCCGATCAAAATTGCTAACATGTCCACCACAATGTTAAACAAGATAGGGGACATTGGATCTCCTTGCCTGAGGCCCTTGTGAGTTTGGAAGTAATGACCTATATCGTCATTTACTTTAATTCCGACACTCCCTTTTTGCGTAAAAGATTCCACCTGATGGCGCCAGGCATCATCAAAACCTTTCATACGCAATGCCTGTTGCAGGAATGGCCACTTAACCTTATCATACGCCTTTTCGAAATCCACCTTAAAAATTACCCCATCTAATTTTTTAGAGTGAATTTCATGGAGCATTTCATGCAGGACAAGCACCCCTTCGAGGATGTTTCTGTCTGGCATGAAAGCAGTTTGGGACTGTTGCACCACAGAAAGCGCAATCTGTGAGAGCCTGTTCGTCCCGACCTTGGTGAATATTTTGAAACTAACATTGAGTAGGCAAATCGGCCTGAACTGCTCAATACGCACAGCCTCCGTTTTCTTAGGGAGTAATGTGATAGTTCCAAAATTCAAGTGAAACAATTGAAGCTGTCCCGAGAAAAGATCATTAAACATAGGTAACAGATCCCCCTTAATAATGTGCCAGCACTTTCTATAGAACTCAGCCGGAAACCCATCTGGTCCGGGAGCCTTATTATTTTTCATTTGTGCAATAGCATCAAACACCTCCTTCTCCATAAACGGGGCCAGCAAAATCTCATTATCGGCAACCGACAACTGAGGAACATCGTCAGTCCTAGACTCATCCAAGGACACACAATTAACCTCCGGTGGTCCGAATTACTGTCTATAATACTCAGTGATGTATGTTTTGAGATTATCCTGCCCAATGATAGTACCCTCATCTTGCTCAAGTTGGAATATACGCTTCTTACGGTGCTTGCCATTCGCAATCAGGTGAAAGAATTGAGTATTGGCATCCCCTTGGACTACTTTGCAGACCTTAGCGCGCAACGCCCACTTCAACTCTTCCTCACGGAGAAGTTCTTTCAACCTCTTCTCAGCCTCGTTCTTAACCTGGAGCTCAGTAGGCAGCAGAATCATAGACTCAGCTTTTGTATCTAGGGCCTGTGTAAGAGCAAGGAGTCTATCCTTTTCAATCTTATAAGCCCCACTTAGGTGCTTAGCCCAACCTCTTAAGAAACTTCTTAAGTGCCTAATTTTATTCTGCCAACGTTCAACCGCCGTCCTACCTCCACCACCCTTATCCCATTCCCTGGCAACGAGGTCTAAGAAACCTTCACGTTCGAACCAGGACATCTCGAATGAGAAAGTGTTCTTGTTTCCCGCATAATTGGACTCCCCGGAGTCCACGAACAGTGGTGTGTGATCGGATATGCCCCGTGTTAAAGCTTGTACCGTAACAAGAGGGAATTTCTGCTCCCACTCTACACTGGCCAGAACACGATCAAGCTTTTCATATGTTGGGTTTGGCAGAGCATTAGCCCAGGTAAACTTTCTACCAGAAAGCTCTATCTCCCTCAGATCCAAGCTCTCAATAATGGTATTGAACATAAAGGACCATCTCCCGTCGAAGTTATCATTATTCTTCTCCTCTCTCCTCCGAATGATATTGAAATCACCCCCGACCAGCATTGGAAGCTGTTCGGACCCACAAATTCGAACAAGATCCGCCAGAAATTCCAGACAACTCCTGCGGGCCGCAAGCGGCCGGACGACGCCAGGACGAACCTGCGCCGCCCCGCTCGGAGCGGCCGACTACTCCCCAAGACCGGAGGCGCCGACGGCAAGCTCCACCAGCCCCCAAGGGCGCTCCTTGCAGCCCGGTAGCCCGAGACAAGCTCGAGGGCGAGGTTTGCGCATGGGGCGGCCGCGAGCCGGCGACCGAACCCCACACGCGGGGGGCTGGGTTACCAGCCCGGCAGGACTGCGCAGCGTGACGGGGCACGGAGGCCAGGGGAGGGGAGGCGTCGGCCGGAGGGGGGAAGGGTGGCTCGTCGGCGCAATCAGCCCAGCGGAAGCGCGGAGATGCAGCCGGGACAGGCGAGGGGGACCGCGGAACAGGGGCATCGCCAGGGGTCGTCGGGGCGGGAGGGACCGGTGAGGCGGCGGGGGATGCGGGCGACTAGGCGGCCTCGGAGCACGGGGAGGTGGCGGCGGCGGCCACCAGCGCGAGGAGGGGCGGAGCGCCAGAGCCCGAGAGCGTCGCCATCGACGACCCACTGATGTCTTCATTGGCCATGTCTATCATTTGTGTGTTTTCATGACGTACTCGGCTTACAGGGAACTAACCCGAGGGGCCTGCCGTTGTTGTTTGTTTTTCAAAGAGTACTCGGCTTACACTTGTATAAGTCGTATACCCGGGAAAAAAACATTTGGCTTATAAAAACACACTAATTAAGTAAGGTGTGTTTTCCCGTAGCAGCGTGCCGTGGTAGCCTTTTTTGGGTCGTGTTTTCAATCAGCACTTTTCTACTCCCTCTGTCTCATAATGTAAAATGTCTTTTGACACTACACTAGTGTTAAAAAACATCTTACATTATGAGACGGAGGGAGTGGTTCGTTAGAAATGACATACACACGCTTGTAGAAATAAGAAAGGCCTAGTTTACGCTGCTGATATATGCATTACGTACACGCTCTTCCAGGATCCGGAGAGCGTGCCCGTGCCACATGAGCTAAATTGATCATTCTTCTACAAGTGAGCTAAATCGATTAATTTGTGAATGGGATACACTGTGTAGCACGCAAGACGAGCTTGGACTTCCTGCTGACGGCGATGCCAAACGCCTCAGACATATCGAGCTCCTCCGGTCTCCCGCCGCCGGGGAGCTCCCAGTCGAAGTGGTAGAGAAGGCTGGCGAGCAGCAGCTCCATGTTGGCGAGGCCGAGCGCCACGCCTGGGCACATCCTCCTGCCTGACCCGAAGGGAAGGTACTCGAAGTGGCCTCCCTTGAAGTCCATGGCGGCCGCACTACTCTCCTCGAACCTCTCCGGCTTGAACGCCTCGGCGTCCTCCCAGTAGGCGCCGTACCTGCCCAGGGCCCAGGCCTTCACGAGAACCTTTGTACCCTCGGGGATGTGGTATCCCATCACCTCGCATGGCTCCCGGCACTGCCGCGGCAACAGGAACGGCAATGGCGCGTGCAGCCGCAACGTCTCCCGGATCACCAAGTTGAGGTAGCTCAGCCGCCCACCAGCGAGGTCACCCTCCGCTAGCTTGCTCCGTCCATGGAGTTCCTCTCGCACCTCCTCCTGGGCCTTGTGGAGGACGCGCGGGTTCCTCACCAGCTCCGACATGGCCCATTCCAACGTCGTCGACGAGGTCTCGCTCCCGGCTACGAACATTTCCTGGACCACGGTGATGATGATGTCGGTGGTGAGGGAGAGGGGGCACTGCGCCCCGCCGTCCTTCTGCACCCTCAGCAGCACCACAAGAAGGTCCTCCGTGCTCTCGCCGGCACCGTCGACGCGCTCGCGGATGAAATTGTCCATAATGGCACGCGCTTTGCGGTTGCACCGCTCGGTCTCCCGGAGGGCGCCGCTGAGCCAGCGGGCCAGCGGTGACGATGGGTAGAGGTCAGACAGGTTGAAGCCACCGGCGAGCTTCACAGACTTGTCGAGCACGTGCAGGAACTCGTCTCGCCGCGGGCACCGGCCGCCGACGGCCGACCGCACCACGATGTCATTGACCGTGTGTGTGATCAGCTGGCCGATTTCAACTACAGTGCAGCCGCCGCCATGAGCGCACTCGTCAGTGATGTAGCCGATCAAGGCGGCGACCTCGTCTTCCCGGATGTGGCGGAAGGACAGGACGCGGCGTGCGCTCATGAGCTCGAGCAGGCAGATGCGGCGGAGCTGGCGCCAGAGGTCACCGTAAGGGGAGAAGAGGATGTCTTGGCCGCCACGGCTGAAGATGTCCAACGTTGGCGTGAGGTGGCGGCTGGCGAAGGCGGCATCGTGCGTCTTGAGAACCTCCCTGGCGGCCTCGGCAGAGGAGACGACCAGCGTGGGTACAGCGCCGAAGTGGAGCAGCATGAGCGGGCCGTGCTTGCGAGAGAGCTCCTGCAGGGCACGGTGCGGCAGGTCCCGGTGGCGCGACAGCAGGAAGTGGTGGAGGCTGCCTACGAGCGGCAGCTGCCATGGTCCCGGCGGCAGCCGCTTTCCCGCTGGAGACGAGGTGTAGATTTTAACGACAAGTAAGATGATTAAGGGGACGACGGACCAGAGCAACGGAAGTGCTCCAGGCTCCATTGTTCTTGTGTGTGTCTCTTTACATCGAATGACAACGTCCTGAATTTAAATGGCTCGATCGATGGATCGCAGAGAGCTGTTTTTTATTTTTTTACGGGGTTGCTAAACCTAGACTTAACCAAGTCTTAATCTATGCTATATTCATGTAATCTTTCACGGAGATCCATGCAAATTTTCTTCTTAATTTTTTCATTCTTCTTTTTTAAATGTTCGGTCGCTTGACTAAGACTTGGTTAAGTCTCGGTCTATTAAGATCTAGCCACACCACTAGTCAAATCACGTTCAGAAGTTTGAAACAATCGGATGTCTAGAAGACTGTAAATAATGTCCACCGGAGGCCAAGTCCATGATCTTTCTCATCGTCATCAGCCTGCAATAATGTCCACGGGAGGCCTTTTTGGTTGAGTTTTATCCACGAGAGAGCTCCCGCAGTCCACGGAAAGTATAATATGCCAACTCAAGCTAGCAGCCATGGTGGTCAAAGTGACCGTTTCTCTTACTTGAACTCGTTATTATATGCTTGCCCTGATGTATGACAGCACCTGTGTTCACAACATTTATTTATTGGTTTCCAAAATATTTAGCTGCTTCTCTTATTGTTTTAGTGTTATTGTTCGTATAGCAGCATTAGTAGTGCAAACGCCACCCTCTCCTCCAAGCACGCATATACTCCCTCAATCCTCATATGTAGGGCCTAATGCATGTTTCGAGACTAACATTGACCACGTGTTAGAGCAATAATATATGACATGCAAGTTAGACTCTCACAAAAAATATACCCCATCCGTTACCTAATGCCGTGCCTATAATATTTAGAAAGTCAAATTTAATGAACTTTAACCAATTTATAAAGAAAATTATTTACATTTAGAATATTTAAAGGCAATGTCGAAAAACACATTAGGCCCTATATATATGGAGGGAGTAGCTAATTTTTCCTTTACGAGATCTCAGCTCTTCGAATGATTGGAGAGAGCCCCGCCTCCTCTCGGTTGGTGCCGGGACCGAGAATGATGGGGCAACTTCCTTAAAGAGTCTGCGTCTCCGCGGAGGCAAGCAGAAAAAGAAAGGATGAATCCCTCACCCCCCAGCTATCTAGATTCACAAGTTGATGTGCCTTGTATATAACATTTTTTCAATTTGACCAAAAACAACAGCTAGCACACTTAACTTGCCAATGTGCTGGCTTAAAAATCAATAGCAATTTGAAAAGTCAAAAAATGTCATTGTTGCCGCGAGCAACAAGCAAGGAACAACTCTCGTATTTATATGAATCAGCCAATACGTAGAGTTGACTGCAGAAAATAGCTAGGAATGTATAAGACCAAGCCTTGGTGCCCTTGTTTTAATTTATACTCACTAGTAGAAAGCATGGCATTTGTCCCAGTTGGTGAGGCCCTTTTGTCCCGGTTCATGAACCGGGACTAAAGGGTCATTACTAATGCCTCCCCCCTTTAGTCCCGGTTCTAACACGAACCGGGACAGATGTGCCTCCATGTGGCCACTGCGAGCAGCCTAGGCAAGGGGGCCTTTGGTCCCGGTTGTTGACATGAATCGGGACCAAAAGACTTCCACGTGTCAGCAGCTGGCTGGAGCTGAGGTTTTTCTTTTTCTTTTTTTAAAAAAAGTGGCTGGTTTAGGGGTTTTGGGGGTTAATTTTAGGTTGTTATTAGCTAGCTAATAGAGAAAAGTGTCCTCTCTTATATCTTCGTCCTTGGTTTACCAACGCTACTGCTATGTTCATTTCACCCGCTGATATATAATAACTCATGCATGCTTGCATCATACATCATCATATATAATAACAAGTCCTACTAATCATGCATCATCATACAACTTCTACTCGTTATTAATAACAAGTCATACGATCATCATCCTCATAGTCATCGAATCCAACCCTACATAATTGTTCTTAGCACATGATCATCAGTATCAGGTAGGACCTAAACACCCTTAAGGTAAAATAGCATAAAACAATATAGACCCTGAGTCTCCATTATGAAGAATGGAGATCATTCTGTCTCCAATTCTTGCGCTTCGCCTCCTTTTGCTTGCAAGAAGCTCCTTACGACTGTCCATACATTTTTTCCATTCTTTGATTGTCATGTCTCCACTTCTTTTAGAAATCCGGTATGGACAGTTGAGATTCGTAGGACGACCTGGTTGTATGTTCAAAACATCAAGGCGATCGTGCGTATACATCAGATGAGGCACACAATCATTCGGGATTATCTGTTGAAAAACATAGTAATGACTTCGAAGTTAGCAATGATGTACTAGTTTTAGAAGTATTTAAAAAGATGCAGGGATGTCGTAATAGTAAAAAATCTTACCAGGGTATCTCCATGGTAGTTACCGTAGTTCAACATGTGCACTAGTGGCACATATTGACCATAATGTTGAGGAGTTCGATTGTAGACATTGTAATTCTCAAGATCAGTACAAAATGCGATCAGATGATTTTTCTCCTTATAAGTTAATTCAGAGCCATCGGTGTAGTCGGTTTTGTCTACCATTTTTCGCACATTCTTTGAAGAATGAAAATAAGCTGTCAATGGAAACAAGTTGTCAACTATTTTGAAATAAACAATATAAATTACTTAATAACCATGTTAAGCTCACATGGGGGAAAAATTGGAGGTGTATCCACAAGGACCTAAATGCCCATATTGTCTTGCTGAATTGTAGGATCACCAAGATCCATGGTGACAAGCATACCCTCATCAAACCATACATCTTGCAAAGTGCTTCCCAATTTTTGCAACCAAAATGGGTTACACTCTCAGCATTGTACAAATTTACTTTAAAATCTACACCATGATGGGTCCTTAGGAGAATTTTTTTTGGTTTCCATACTTTCATGTCTTCAAAACCCATCCTCTCCAAGACATAGCGTCTTGCATAGTATGGGATAAGCTAGTCGAATTGGAAAAGATGAAAAATACACGTTAAAATAGTTGAAGTCGTGCTTAATTACGAAAAAAACTATTGTCGTCGTTGTGTACCGTATCAACATCGAAGGTCTCCTCGAGCTTAATGCTGAAACGCCGATCTTCGTCCAGCTCAATGAACCTGTCGCACATACCTCGGTCGTCGTGGCACCAGTCGCACTCCCCCGGGCGGTTTTCGTCGTCCGAGTACGACACTTCCAGCCTAAGTTCATAATTCAAATATTAAACTTGTACAATTAAATATATGTACTAAAAAACCTAAATTAGATCATTATTATTAATCACAGGTTGACTATCGGTGATGGTACGTAGCTCCTCCTTTCATTCCCGAGTGCATTATTACAACAAATTGTCTAGCACACGGGAATGAAGGAGAAGCTATCCCCACGACGGCGTGGATGATGGAGGGGGCTCCTAGATTTCTGCATAGAGTGCTCTTCAATTTTAGCATTCAAAGTAGGAGTACTTTTTCAATATGAGCATTCAATAAGCAAAACCAAATCATAAAATAAAGTAGTATTCAAATTAGCATGCATTCAATTATAACCAAAAGTACATCATCTCTTGTGTTCGTACATCGTCGAATACTCCTCGAATACTATCATACATATAGCATCGCTAATTAATACAGCTAGAACCGTAACGCCCGACGGGTATCGTCGTGGCGGTGGACACCTAAAGATAAGGAACGATCACAGGATCATAGCTCCAGTGAGATCCCTGAAGAACCTGCCAGGTATTGTCGAACTTGCCCTCCAACGCAACCATGTAGCGACGGACGTGCTCGTCCTCCTCGATGACACGGTGACGTACCACCTCTGCGGTGTCCGGAAGCCTCGGCACCGTTACTGGCCCACGCGACCGCCACCAAACAAGGATCGGGTCAACAACGGGCTGCCTCCTCACCAACCTACCTCCCCTAGAAGGTAGCACCTCCCAATACCAGCCTGGCGGAGCCTAGTCCCGAACATGGCCCTGATCAAGCAGGCCTCCACCGCCGAGTCGACGACGACGAGGATGTGGGATAGGCATCGTCGACGTCGATGCGGGAACTACTTCTATATATAGTTAAATAAAGTAGTTTTATTAATTAAATCAACTAGTTCAACTACTAAGCACTTACTATAAATAAATAAAGTAGTACTTACTAAAAATAAACTACTTCTATATATACGAACATACAAACATGCATATTCAACAATAATATCACCAGAAAATTCTATTAACAGAAAAAAAATCTAACAAAATATGAACAAATTACACAATATGAAAAAAAATCTATGAACTACACATCTAACAAAAAAATCTATGAACTACAAAAAAAATCTAACAAAACAATTTGCTCACGGGATGCCCACGGCGTGAGGGGCGCGGCGAGGGCGACGGGCAGGGGATGGCGACGGCGACGGTGACGGGGCGGCGCGGGACGGCGTGGGGCGGCGACGGCGCGGGGCGACGATGGCGCGAGGCGGCGACGACGTCGGGGCGGCGCGGGACGACGCGGGGCGACGACGACGGCGAGGCGGAGACGGGCAGCCTGGCGGCGGCGGGCGCGGGGAAGAAGGAACTGAAGCAAATTTTCATGAGTGCTGCTTATATAGGCGAAGCATTGGTGCCGGTTCGTCAGACAAACCGGGACCAATGCCATCTTTAGTCCCGGTTGGTGCCACCAACCGGGACCAAAGGCCTCTTTTCAGCAGCCCAAAGGGCGGGAAGCGACGGCCTTTGGTCCCGGTTAGTGGCGCGAACCGGGACTAAAGGGGGTCATTGGTCCCGATTGGTGCCAAGAACCGGGACTAAAGGGTGGTATTGGTCCCGGTTCGTGCCTCCAACCGGGACCAATGGCCTTGCATAGTGGCGTGGTGGTGGGAGTTTAGTCCCACCTCGCTAGTTGAGAGCGTCGACCACCTGCTTATAAGCACTGCTGCCTCCTCTCTCTCGAACTCCTCTGAACTGCAGGCCTATGGGTATAATCTAACACTGCTTTGCCTATGGGCCTGCTGGGCCTTCTGCGGTCCTGAATCCTGGCCCATGGTAGGGTTTCTAGTC